AAAGCTTTTTCGACGTCAGCTAAGAGAATGATACGCGCTTGTCGAAATCGAAGTAAGATACCACATGACTCCGGCAGAATAGTCGGCCCTTTAAGGAGTTCATCATTTAGTGATTTTTCATGAGGAGTCTTCGCTGAAGCGTCAAAAACTACCCTTAGCTTGGTGGTGTTTCTAAGTGGTATAATCACCGCTTGAGGAAGATAGCTTACCACACCTTGAGGATTACCGTCTTCAACCTTTTCAGTTATTCCATTTTCCAGCTGCATGTTGAACGTTTGATCGTACTATTCTAGCAGAATTGAATTTAGAAGCAGCATACTAACTGTAGATTTGAGTCTGGCTACGCACATTGCATAGTTGGATTGAATATTATTTACGTTTTCCCTCTTCCAAGGCCAGCTTACAAAGTAACGACCGCTATCGTCCCTTGTAATACTCTTCTCAAACTGTTCAACTGCCTTTTCTTCCTCCGTATTTTGTACGGGGTCAGCAGTCCCAATGCTTCCAAATGCCAAAATTGGTCTACATCTGGCTGTTCATCCAGCACTGTGTTGACGATGATGGCAGTTTGAGCAAGTACCTTTTTTGTTTTCATAGTAATGTTATTTACTGCACCTTCCCCTGCTGTCATCCATCCTACGGCTGAATCAATAAGTTGAAATCCGGGGTTCAGTACTGTACGACGTCCCTTTATAAAACTGAAGTAGTATTCCAGATCAACTACAATTTGTGGCTTCTTACAAACGATCGCTGACTGAATAACGTTTAGATTCGCCTGTTTCAGCTGTTGACCTTCTCTATCGCTTATTTGTGCTATCAACAATTTTTGCGCCAAAAACTGCATAGTGCACGCTGTTATTGCATTTTGGACACTTTTTAATACAAGATTAACTCTGACCTCTCTCGAATCGTAAACTTTCGATTGCATTTCTGCAAATGTGGCTATAAAAATTGGCCTGCGCACAGCGCTGATTAGTTGCTCTGCCAACTCTTCCGTTATGAATGAGCGCTGGCATCCCGAATCAAAGAAAACTGCAGCTTCGACTTTCTTATCTGGATCCTGTGGATTTGCCACCCAAATTATTTTGCACAAAAGTACAGTAATTTGAGCTTGAGGAGTACGTCTATTACTGCTTCCTGAGTTTTGTGGAACTGTACTTGCTGCTACCACGGCTTAATTGGTTTTTTCGATATTCCGGGGGCACTAGGTGATGTTGCTACTGAAGTATTGATGACTGGTTGTTTGTTTCGACATACTGCTGTGTTATGAGGTTTCTTACAATGAAAACACTGCTGCTGCTTGTGGCACATCCTCGATGTTTGCCCTTTTAAGCATTTGAAGCATACATGAAGTTTTCTGATCTGTTCTACTTTTTTACCATAAGTGTCATATTTCTTGCAGTTGTTGCTCCAATGTTGGCCTTTACAAAAGGCGCAAGATTTTTGCGGACGCTTGTTTCCTTTCTTTTCTCAAGTTATAAACGCTAAAGTTGGCTTGTAATTTGCTTCATCCACTTTGTTTCTTGAATTAGTAGTCTTCTCCAACACTTGATGCCGCTGACGTAATTCTTGTACTTTGTCCACATCTTCTTTCCTTTTTTCTACTGTTTCCAAATGCGCT